CAATTCCTCAGCACCACATGAGCAAAAAGAAAAAAGCCGGAAGTGGCGCTGTGGCTCAAGTGGTAGAGCACTAGCCTTGAACTGAAGAGCTGAGGGACAGCGCCCAGGCCCAGAGTTCAGGCCCCATGACCAAAAAAAAAAAAAAAAAAAAAGAAATTAGTTGACTAGCCACCAGCGGCCAAAGATGGGAGAGGAAACTGATCATAAAGGGACAGCATAAAGGAATTGGGGGAGGGTTACTATTCTCTTATTTTGACTATAGTAGTGGCTTTACAATTGTATATGATAGCTGAACTTTGAGGAACTGTTCACTTTTTAGTGAATTCACTCTTTTAGTGAAAACTGTGCTTTGATTCTTAAATTAAAAACATCAAGAAGTATTTAATATATTTCAAAATATATGGGCTAGGAAGATGGCTCAGTGGTAGTGCACTTGCCTTGCATGCATGAGGCCCTGAGTTTGATTCCTCAGCACCACATAAGCAGAAAAAAAATAAATAAAAGCCGGAAGTGGCGCTGTGGCTCAAGTGGTAGAGTGCTAGCCTTGAGCTGAAGAGCTGAGGGATAGCGCCCAGGCCCAGAGTTCAGGGCCCCCGACCACACACACACACACACACACACACACACACACACACACACACACACACTCTCTCTCTCTCTCTCTCTCTCTCTCTCTCTATATATATATATATATATATACATACTTAAGTAGGTGTATGCTAACCACAGGTTTCTAACTTTTCACACAATAATCCCAGTTACTGAGAAAGCTAAGATCTGAGAGTCACAGTTTAGAGCCAGCCAGGGTAGACAAATCCAAGAGACTCATATCTCCAATTAATCAGCAATATATTAGACTGGCTCAAGCAGTAGAGAACTAGCCATGAGCAAAAATGCTAAGTGACCTGGGTACTGGTGGCTCACACCTGTAATTCTAGCTACTGAGGAAGCTGAGAGCTGAGGACCAGGCAGGAAAGTCCATGAGACTCTTATCTCCATTAACCACCAAAAAACTGGAAGCAGAGGTATGGTTCAAGTGGTAGAGGATAGCCTTAAGCAACAAAAGCTTAGAGACAGCACTCAGGCCCTGAGTTCAAGCCCCAAGACTGGCACCAAAAACAACAAAAACTGAGAGGGAGTTGGAGACCCAAGATAAAGTCTCAGTTCTGACACAAAAGATAAAGAAATAAGTAAATACAAGGCCAGGGTGCTGGTGGCTCACACCTGTAATCCTAGTTACTTGGGAGTCTGAGACCTGAGGATCGGGGTTCAAAGCCAGCCTGTGCAGGAAAGTCCTTTGAGACTCATATCTTCAACTAACCACTGGAAAACTGGAAGTGGAGTTGTGTCTGAAAATACTAGTAGAGTAGCTAACCTTGAACAAAAGAAGATCAGGGATAGTGCCCTGGTCCTGAGTTCAAGCCCTATGACTACACTCCCCCACAAAAAAGTACACAAATAAGCAAATAATAAGACTGAAGACTGCTTCAATCTAAGTGACTTCTCAACTTTTATCTATGAATCATTGTCCCATCTAAAAAAGGTGTTTTTTGTTTTGGGTTTTTGTTTGTTTGTTTGTTTCTGAGACAGGTCTCATTGTGTAGTCCAGACTAGCTAGAACTTGCTATGTAGCCCGAGCTGGTACAAAACTCCCAATTCTTCAGCCTCAACCTCCTGAGTGCTTGAATTACAGGCTTGAGACCCTCCTATTTCAGCCTCCCAAGTACTGGGATTACAGGTATAAACCATCACACCTGGCTCTATCCATATGTTCTATTTGATTCTTTCATTTTTTGTACTTCTTTCAAGAACTTTGCCCAGTCTATTTTCTCCACCAAAACCACAGTTCCAAGAATAGAGATAGGTTATTTCTTTTCCCAAGTCCTTCAACATTTTTCTTTTTTTGTTTGTTTGAAACAGGTCTCATTGTGTAGTCCAGACTAGCTAGAACTTGCTATGTAGCCCGAGCTGGTACAAAACTCCCAATTCTTCAGCCTCAACCTCCTGAGTGCTTGAATTACAGGAGTGCACAACATCTTAACACTTTTACTACTCCCTATGGATTTTTTTATAATGATAATATTTACTAAATTCACTATGTGCAAGAAACTGTGTTAAGTGCTATGCCTGCCTGCTCTTATTTAAACTCATAAACTCCACAAGATAAAGTGTTATTATTATCTACTTTATAGATGAAGGAATTGAGGCATAAAATGGGTCTGAATTTTATCCCAGAAGTATAATACCAGACTCTAGTAGTCATTATACTTTAGTGTCATTCATTGAACGGTAACTGGGTACCAGCAACTAATTCAAGCACTAAGGTTAGACATAAGAATGAGACAAGATTCTACTCTCCCTTAAAGAATTTACAGTCTAGTTGGACAAGACCAATAAAATAAGTGCATTACACTAAGTATGTTCTAAGTAGGCTAAGGAAGTGACAGGAAAATCTTCCCAGAATGGTGTTTATCCCGAAAAGAGTGAGAACAGTTCCAGGTTTGACTCAGCTGTCAGCTAAGACTCTAGTAAGCTCTAACCAAATGTTTCCCATCCTCGTACTTTTGGTATACTATAGGATATTAATCTAGACTATAAAACAAGTCTGTGAAGGTTTTTTAATTGGTGCACAGTAGTTAGAAAATGTCTTTATATCATTCTTATTTTTTAGAGAAAAAAAATTGCTAGAAATCCCATCTGAAATTAGGAGCCAGAATTAAGATTGCAATAATATAGTTTCCCAAAATCTATATCTAACTCATCTGTTAGGGGAATAGTATCCTGTTCCCACATGTACCAATTTTATGTAAAATTGGCTTGTTTTTATTTTTGTATACCAGTCATTTTGCTTTGTTTCAATAAATAAATAATTTTAATTGTATTGCAAACGGATTTTTTTTCTTTCACCTTTATGATGCTTGCTTCTTTGGAAAAAAAAGAGTCAAAGGATGGAGAGTGAGAAGCCTGCATAAACAAGCGTTCTGGAAAAAAGATGCAAACAAAACATGATTTCTCTGACACATAGTGCACTGTGTGTACTGAATGAAACATGTAACATTCCATTCCATCCTTTTTTAAAGAGGTTATTAAGGATAATTGTATACACAGAAGAGTGGACAAAGTTATCTTTTACTAAAGCTGTAAGGAAATGGACACTAGCTTTTTAAACTTTAATTAACACTGGTTTTAGCAAGTCATTTAACTGTTCCAACTCTCCATTTCTTTCCTTTCGAGGGGAGGGGGCAGGGGAAAGGAGGTTGTTGACTTTAGAAATCCCTATGGATCCTTCTAGCCTTAAACATTTCTCCTCAGAAAACAGCTCAAGTACCAGAACCTTTACTGCATGGGTTTTTATCATGGGTGTTACAGTAAACATTTTTAAAAATGTTCACTTGGGGTTCCATTCTTACAGCCATTTTCTTCAGATGGAATAGGTCAGATAAGATAACACAGCAAGATTCCCCAGTAGGAATTATTTCCCATTTACCAATGAAAAGAACAAGGAGGGGGAAAAATCCACTTCTGTTATGATGTTCAAAAACAACACTACACAGTCAAAAGCATAAAAGCATTCCATACCAGGAAGGGGGAAGGGGTGGCTATAATAGGAAAGGATCACCGCAAAGGAAGCTCTACACAAATATCCACCATTTTCATTCTTTTTTTTCCCTTTTTTTTACCCTCTCCTGGAGAGAAAAGGCCAGTTTTTATTTTCTCTTAATCTCCGAAGAGGTAGCAAAAGCCACAGCAATCCCCGTGCATTGTTTTTGTTATAAAATACTGAAGCTGTGCTATTTTTGTTTGTTACACAGATCACCCATCTTATTTTCTTCTGAGAAGGCTGGTTTCCATATATTACCCACCAGCAGCCCTCACGGAGAGCAGACACTCACCACTACCACCTTTTTTAATTTTTTAAATCCAAGCCCGTAAACAACCATTTCCTCTTTGCTGCAGCCGTCTGTGCTGCCTGTCTGGTTTTAGCCAAGCCAGGGGCTGAGCCCTGCAGACTGCGGTGATGGGCAGGGCCAGCTTTCCGCATCTCCCCAGTGACAGAAGAGGGTTCGCGACCCTGATAAGACCCCGCCCTCAAAGCCAAGCCCCAGGAAGGAGAGGAGGAGAGAGCCGCCTGGCTTCCACCCAGAGCTTTAGGAAAACAGGCAAACAGGCGTCTCCACCCCAGATCGGGCAGGAGTGGCCCCGGGCTGCACTGCGCGCGCCCAGCCGCTCCCAGGTGGGTACCCGCGGATGGGGACCGCGGCTTGGCTCCAGGGAGTAGCGCGGAGGGGGTGGGGGGAACGGGGGGGGGGAGAGGGGAGGGGAGGAGAAAGAAGGAAAAGGGAGGAGAGAGGAGGGAGGATGCAGGCCGGGATTTCGCTCATCACGATTCACAAGGGAGGGTGGGAAATGGGGAACTGTTGGCGACCGAAAAAGGAGAGGGATCGAGGGGGGCTCGGGGAATAAAGAAGGCAAGGGAGGAGAGAGGGGAAGCGGGAAGGGGAAGCGCTGGGGTGATGCCGCAGAAAAGGGAACTGGTAGGCTGGGGGCGGGGGTAGCAGGGCAGGGTGGCAGAGGAGAGACTGGGGTCTGCGGAGACGGGATGAGGTGACCGGGGACTCGGAGAGATGCAGCGGCGAAGGTGAGCGCGGGGGGAGGGAAGAAGGAACGAGGGGTGTCGATGAAGACACGGGGAGCAGGGGAGGGCGGGGAGGAGGGAGAGATGGAGGGATGGAGGGAGTGACGGAGGTGGAGGGCAGGGATGGAGCAGGCCTGCGGAATGGGGGGAGGGGAGGCGGGGGGAGGGGAGGCGGCGGGCTGGGCGGCCGGACCCGGGAGGCCCAGTGGGACTTCCCTCAGGGAGGGCGGCGGCACCGGATAACGGAGCCCTGCGAGCTCGGAACCCCGGGCCTGACGGAGGCCCGGGCACTGACGCCCAGGTACCCGGCTTTCCCGGGGGCAGCCGCAGACCCCGCCTGCGGGCAGGACCTGCCTCTACTTACTCTCTCCGACCACGGCTTTGAGGCCAATGGGGGCCATGGCGCTGGGTGAGTCTCTGGGCTCCGACTTTCCTCTGGCGATGCTCGCGGACACTACCACCACCTCCTCCCCAGACCCGCGCGCTCTGCTGGCTGCAGCCCGCCGCCCCGCAGCCGCGCTCCGGATCGACTGACGCGCGGACTCGGCTCGGGGGCGCGGCGCCGGCCAGAGAGAGGCTGTGGAGCCAGCGGCGCACGAGGGGCGGGCCGTAGGGGGCGGGGATTAGCCCAGCCGTCAGCGTCACCCGCGCCTCTCCACCAATCAAATCGCGGCCCGGATGCTCAGCTCCGCCCTCTGGGATGCGGCTGGGCGTGAGGCGGCCCCTGGGCTGGTGCGGGAGTCGCGCCCTCCCCCTCACCTCACGCGCCGAGCGCGTGCACGCGAGTGAGTTCTCCCGGGTAGCCGCGCGCGCGCGCGCATCCAGAGCACAGGGTCCTAAAGTCCTATTTACCACCTCTGCACCAGGATCTCTGGCAGCAGGAATCTTCGGGAAACCCCTCTACAGTGCTGTCTTTCCTGCTTCTTGGAACTGTCCATATTTCCCTGCCATAGAAGGATTTCTTTAAGAATTAATAGAACCACTCTTCGACACAACGCAATGTGAGGTACCTCTGTACCATCTCTATCTTTCTGGATGTCTAGATCCATAGATCCACCATTTGCTGAGCTATTAGTATGTATCAAGCACCTTAGACGCATCATCTCACTAAAACCTCACAATAAATCAAGTATTGATTTTAATCTGCATTCCCAGATTGTCTTTTAAAAATCTGAGGCTCAAGCTGGGAATGTGACTTAGCGATGGAGTGTTGAAGCATGAAGCACGAAGCCTCAATACCACATAAACAGAAAAAGCCCAAAGTAGCACTGTGGCTCAAATGGTTGAGTGCCAGCCTTGAGCAGAAAGAAGCTCAAGGACAGTGCCCAGGCCCCGAGTTCAAGCCCCAGGACTGGCAAAAAAAAAAAAAAAAAATCTGAGGCTCAGATGTTGGAAAAAGTATAAAACTTACTGCCAGACGGTACATCAATCATTCATTAACAAATATTTATTGTTCTCCCATGACTATGTGTAATCTGCTGTTCTGGGCACTTGCAGCTACAACCATGCACAAGATAGGATACCATCCTTGTCTAGAGTTCAGAAGTTCTTAATAGGAATATGGTATAGAAACAACTCTGTTGCGCTCTACCACTTGAGCCACAGCGCCACTTCTGGTTTTCTGGTGGTTTATTGGAGATAGGAGTCTCTCGGTCTTTCCTGCCCGGGCTGGCTTTGAACCGCGATCCTCAGATCTCAGCCTCCTGAGTAGCTAGGATTACAGGCGTGAGCCACCAGCGCCGGGCTTAGAAACAACTCTGAACTTAGCATCTCCTTCCTAGATACTACGTTCACTAAAATGGTCCTATGAGGGTTCTCACTGGACTTTTTAATTTCTTTGTGCAAGTAATGGGGCTTGAGCTCAGTGCCTGCAGTACACACTGTACCTTAGCTTCTTTGTTCAAGGTTGGCACTCTACCACTTGAGCTACATCTCCATTTCTAAATTTTTAGTGGTTAATTGAAGATAAGAGTATCATGTATTTTCCTTCCCTGCTGACTTTGAATTTCAATCTTCTGATCTCAGCCTCCTGAGAAACTAGGATTATAGGCATGAGCAACTAGTACTTGGCTTCACTGGGCTTTCATTGTTAATGGTGAATACTGTTTTTGAAATAAGGAACAAGAGTTGGGAATGTATCCTGATGGTAAGAGGCACTTGCCCAGTACATGAAAAGCCTCATGCTTGAATCTTGGCAAAATAAATGAGCAAACAAAGAACAGAACAAGCTTACTTCTGCTTCCAAAAAAAAAACAAGTTGAGCTAATAAAAAGAACAGGCAAGCTAGTAGTAGTAAAAATCAGTTAACACTCATTAAAGATTTGAACCAGGCCAGGTGCTACTGGCTAACGCCTGTAATCCTAGCTACTCAGGAGGCTGAGACATGAGGATCAGGGTTTAAAGCTAGCCCTGGCAGGAAAGCTTGTGAGATTCTTTTTTTTTTGGGGGGGGGTCCGGTTGTGGGGCCTGAACTCTGGGCCTGGGCACTGTCCCTCAGCTCTTCAGCTCAAGGCTAGCACTCTACCACTTGAGCCACAACGCCACTTCCGGCTTTTTTCTTTTTGCTTATGTGGTGCTGAGGAAGCAAACCCAGGGCCTCAGGCATGCAAGGCAAGCGCTCTACCACTGAGCCACCTTCCCAGCCCCATCTTGTGAGATTCTTATAGCCAATTAGCCACCAGAACATCAGAAGTGGAGTTGTGAGCTGTGGCTCAAAGTGGTAGAGCACAAGTGCATAGGTAATAAGTGATCAAGGAATGATCCAATTCTAGAATCTGAATTCTGAGCCATTATTATATACTGAACAAGAAGAGAAAAGCTGAAGCCTAAGGAGGACTTTTCTGAATTCATGGAGGCAATGTTGGTCAGCTGTAGACAAGAAACCACATGTCCTAGCTCAAGTCACAAGCTCTAAGCCAAAGTTATCATCTTCTCACTTTTACCCAAATCTACCTCAAAAGAACCTTTGAATGACTTCATAGAGAGAAGGTAATAATGTATCATTCCTTTACATTTTGGTCCACAGAACATATGACAGCTTTTGGGCATATTTGGAGGAGAAGATGGTTTGTATTGATGAAGGGACCCAGGATGCACTTGGGAGGCTACAGGTTTCTTCCTTAGCCAGCTGGTATGTGTCAGCAGAGATACCACAATTTCTGCATCTACTGTGAAAATATAAACTAGGATCTGGAAAGTCATTTAATGGCCAAGGAGTAGGAATGGTAAGGGCTCCTCTTGCCATTCATCCTGTCAATGGGTCAATGAGGATTTACTGAGTGCCATGAAAGTTCAGTTTTGCCCTCAGGAAGCTGTGTTCTAGCCAGACACCAGTGGCTCATGCCTGTAATCCTAGCTACTCAGGAGGCTGAGATCTGAGGATCATGGTTCAAAGCCAGCCCAGGCAGGAAAGTTGGTGAGACTCTTATCTCCAATAAAACACCAGAAAACTGGAAGTGGCACTGTGGCTCAAGCGGTACAGCACCCACCTTGAGCTGAAGAGCTGAGGTACAACACTCAGGCCCAGAGTTCAAGCCCCACAACAAGAAAAAAAAAAGCCATGTTCTGGTGCTAGTGACTCCCATTTGTAATTCTTGTTACTCAAGAGGCTGAAATCTGAGGCTCACTGACAAAGCCAACCTGGGCAGAAAAGTTTGTAAGTCTCTTATTACCAATTAGCTACCAAAAAGCTGAAAATGGACCTATAGCTCAAATGGTAGAAGCCCAGCCTTGAGAAAAATAGCCAAGCCAGAATACATGGCCCTGAGTTCAACCCCAGTATTAGCACTAAAAACAAACAAACAAAAAAAAAACAGCTCAACAAGTAAAATAAAGAAAGATGTAGCAGCTTCTTAATTTCTGCTGAGGGAAGGACAAAAAAAGAATTACTTCCTGTAGGTGTGGACCAGAGATGTGTGCTAAGGCTGTCCCAAAAATCAGAACTGATTATTCAAAGAACAAGCAGGGTGACAGACTGTGGACTCACCCAAGATTCCCTGACTGTGGGGTGTCAATCTGGAATCGCTCTAAATGTGTAATTCAAGACCTTGTTCTTGACATCTCTGAGTCTTGATTTCTCCACCTGTAAAAGGGCATTAAACCATGCAGATAAGGTGGCTCTGAAGAGTCAGAAAAATGGCCATCATGAAAGGGTACCCTATGATCTCTATCCCTTATGTTGTCTTAGTTTGCCTAGAGCTCTTAGAAATTTCCACTCAATTCTCAGCGTGGCACTATTATTTTCCCACCTCAGGGAAATCAAGCCACTGGCATAAGGCCATACTGCTCTAAGAGCAGACCCAGGACACAACTTCCACTAACTTCCTGGAAGACCATTCCAGAGGCCAGGGCATAACCCCAAGACTCTGAATGAAGGATAGATTTGGCAATAGGAACACATTGTTTGGAGCACATGGAGATAGAACCTGAGTATTAGGGCCCAGAAAGGTTCACCGTGCACTGCACTGACCCAACACCAGCTCCTACAGATCCCTGCACAGCTGCAGTTGCAGGATGCAAAGACTTGGTCCTCCTCCAGGGCCAAACGCCCAGCAGGTGCACCTGCAGGTGCGCATGCGCGGCCTGCAGCCTCTGCAGAGCCGGCTGGGTGAAGGGCAGGCAGCAAGGATGAGAAGAGTCCTGTGATCTACGCACGGGTCATGAGATAGCAGACACAGATGAACCAAAGGATGCCGAGAAGACACTCATACTGATGGCAAATTAAGAGAGAGGCGCTCAGAGGAATAGGGAGTTAGAAAACAAAGGAGCAAGAAATAGCAATGGAGTGGATTGGAGAAAGAAAAAACCAGGAGCAGTTGGTTGCTTAAACTGGACCTATTGAGAGCATCCATCATGGGGATTCCTAGGCTTGGGCTTGGCAAGCACTCCTGGAGATCCTTCTACTTTGAGGCTCCATGATCAGGTGCACTCCCACTCCCTTCCCCTGGATGTAGGGACACCAGTTCCCCCTGTGCTGTTTTAGGAGCAGTTTAAAAAAGGATTCAGCAAGGTAATATTTGTAAGGGGCCTTTATCCAATACTGGCTGCTTGGTATGGATCTAGTGAATGTTATCTATTAATACCATTGCTTTTTAAAAGATGATATAATGTGAGGCATCAGTGGCTCATGCCTGTAATCTGAACTACCCAGGAGGCTGAGCTCTGAGCATTGTGGTTAGAAGCCAGTCAGGGAAGCAAAGTTCATGAGGCTCTTATCTCTATTTTACCACCAAAATAAAAGACTAGAGGTAGAGCTGGGGCTCAGATGTTAGAGCATTAGCCGTGAGCTAAAAAAACTCAGGGACAGCACCCAGGATCTGAGTTCAAGCCCCAGGATGGGCACCCCTCCAAAAAAATAAATAAATAAAATAAAAGCATAGGTCAAGTGGTTTTTTTTGTTTTTGTTTTGTTGTGTTTTTTGGTCAGTCGTGGGGCCTGAACTCTGGGTCTGGGCGCTGTCCCTCAGCTCTTCAGCTCAAGGCTAGTGCTCTACCACTTGAGCCACAGCACCACTTTCAGCTTTTTCTGTTTATATGGTGCTGAGGAATCAAATCAGGGCCT